CATGGGTTGCGAGTTGGGGGTTTGTTACCATGCCGATAAATTACATTATCCATCCGGACCTTTGCCACCTAGTAAATTTGTGTGACCGGACCTTCACAAATAGTATGGGGACAGCCAAAGAACCCTTTTGGAACCCTTTTTTCTAATACTGTACATGGACATAGAAACAGTTATGTGTCAGACAGGGACCTTCAGTAATATTTCAGTTGAATTGCATTGAGGCCCCCCCATATAATGGTAACATTTTCGCATGCCATGTGATGTCATGCCTATGCATCTCCTCGGCTTGGCAATGTGCTTCAGAAATGATAGCAAGCTCCTGGGGCCACTATTATCGGCTATTAGCTGTAGTCGAGGAGAGTGGTGTGGATCCACGCTCCACTCCTCACGCATCACAGAGAAACATGTACTTTGATTAGTACTCTCTGTGAGAAATGGTTTATGTGCCTCGTGCAATGTAGTACTCAACATCATGTAATGTCAAGATAATTGTCTCCACTCTTTTTACTGTATGTTATGTCAGCATTAGCCTATACACAGAAAGAGGGATCTTGCCCATCTAGAGCCTTTCCCTGGACCCATTTTATATTTGTATCTGTTGAACTTGAACCTATCCTTAGGCCAATACATTAATACTTGACAATGAGGTCTTTAAAATGTGTCCGATTTGGGTACGAGTGAACGGATAACTTCCTGTGTCAGTCATAACGTAATGAAATATTCAGGCAGATCATGATGTTTAGAGAGTTTTTTTCAGGGAGGGAGATGGGATCTGCAATTGCATTTTAATGGTGCATTTCAGACAGAAATCAGAGGTAGAGATGGATACATTCATCTTTTTAACAGTTATGATGAATACCTTTCTAACGAATGGCTGCTGGCTAAGGACGCTGCTGGGACATCTGCAGTGTTTACCTTTTGATCTTTACTTCAATTGTTGTTTGATCTGGCTTTGGAATGTAGCGTTTTACTGGCGTCTTGGTTTTGTCTTCGCCCAACGTTTTTCATTCAGCTTTTCGCGTCAGACCTTTTTTTTTACACCCCTTTTCTCCCCAATTTCGTGAAATCCAATTGGTAGTTACGGTCTTGTCCCATCGCTGCAACTCCCGGAGAGAGAGACTCGGGAGAGGCGAAGGTCGATTGCCACGCATCCTCTGAAAAATGACCCCGCTAAGCCGCATTGCTTCTTGACATACTGCTCACTTAACCCGGAAGCCAGCCGCACCAATGTGTCGGAGGAAACACCGTACAACTGGTGACCGAAGTCAGCGTGCATTCGCCCTGGCCCGCCACAAGGAGTTGCTAGAGAGCGATGGGACAAGGACATCCCGGCCGGCCAAACCATCCCCTAACCGGACGACGCTGGGCCAATTGTGCGCCGCAACATGGGTCTCCCGTTCGCGGCCATCTACGACACAGACTGGGATCGAACGCGGGTCTGTAGTGACACCTCTAGCACTGCCTTAGACTGCTGCGCCACTCGGGAGGCCCGCTTCAGACATTTTTATCTGCTCCACCACGCACCTGTCTGGTAAGGTTGAACGCCTCCTCTCCTACTCAGCCTCCTGACAAAAGCTTCTCCCAAGTGGGTGTGACACCTTCTCCCATTGCCTGCTGCACTGCTGCTTGAATCCCACCCAGAGATCTGGGCCCCGTCTGCCCTGGCCTGTGTCTCCCTGTCTGGCACAGATACCGCCCCCCCCCCCCACACTCTCCCCTCTCTCCCGAGCTTTCGCTCGCTCGCATCCAGCACATACAGTGTATTTGGAAATTATTCAGACCCGTTAACCTTTTCAACATTTTGTTACGATACAGCCTTATTCTAAAATGGATTAAATAGTTTTTGTTTCTTCTTCTCATCAATCTACATATAGTACCCTATAATGACAAAGCAAAAACAGGTTTTTAGAAATTTTAGCAAATGTATTAAAAATAGAAAACGGAAATATGACATTTACATAAGTACTCAGACCCTTTACTCAGTACTTTGTTGAAGCACCTTTGGCAGCGATTACAGCCTCAACTCTTCTTGGGGATGACGCTACAAGCTTGGCACACCTGTATTTGGGGAGTTTCTCCCATTCCTCTGTGTAGATCCTCTCAAGCTTTTTCAGGTTGGATGGGGAGCATCGCTGCACAGCTATTTTCAGGTCTGTCCAGAGATGTTCGATCTGGTTCAAGTCCGGGCTCTGGCTGGGCCTCTCAAGGACATCCAGAGACTTGTTCCGAAGCCACTCCTGCATTGTCTTGGCTGTGTGCTTAGGGTTGTTGTCCTTTTGGAAGATGAACCTTCACCCCAGTCTGAGGTCCTGAGTGCTCTAGAGCAGGTTTTCATCAAGGATCTCTCTGTACTTTGCTCTGTTCATCTTTCCCTTGATCCTGACTAGTCTCCCAGTCCCTGCCGCTGAAAAACATCCCCACACCATGATGCTTCCACCACCATGCTTCATCGTAGGGACGGTGCCAGGATTCTTCCATTTACATTTACATTTTACATTTTAGTCATTTAGCAGACGCTCTTATCCAGAGCGACTTACAATATTTTGTTTGTTTGTTTGTTTGTTTATACTGGCCCCCCGTGAAACAAACCCACAACCCTGGCGTTGCAAACGCCATGCTCTACCAACTGAGCTATATCCCTGCCGGCCATTCCCTCCCCTACCCTGGACAACGCTGGGCCAATTGTGCGCCGCCCCATGGGTCTGTCCCCAAACAATTTGATTTGCTGGTTCCAGACGTGACGCTTGACATTCAGGCCAAAGAGTTCAATCTTCGTTTCATCAGACCAGAGAATCTTGTTTCTCATGGTCTGAGAGTCCTTTAGGTGCCTTTTGTCAAACTCCAATTGGGCTGTCATGTGCCTTTTACTGAGGAGTGGCTTCTGTCTGGCCACTCTACCATAAAGGCCTGATTGGTGGAGTGCTGCAGAGATGGTTGTCCTTCTGGAAGGTTCTCCCATCTCCACAGAGGAACTCTAGAGCTCTGTCAGAGTGACCATCGAGTTCTTGGCCACCTCCCTGACCAAGGCCCTTCCACACCGATTGCTCAGTTTGGCCGGGCGACCAGCTCTAGGAAGAGTCTTGTTGGTTCCAAACTTCTTCCATTTCAGAATGATGGAGGCCACTGTGTTCTTGGGGACCTTCAATGCTGCAGAATTTTTTTGGTACCCTTTCCCAGATCTGTGCCTTGACACGATCCTGTCTCGGAGCTCTACGGACAATTCCTTTGACCTCATTGCTTGGTTTTTGCTCTGATATGCACTGTCAACTGTGGGACCTTATATAGACAGGTGTTTGTCTTTCCAAATCATGTCGTCCAATCAATTGAATTTACCACAGGTGGACGCCAATCAAGTTGTAGAAACATCTCAAGGATGATCAATGGAAACAGGATACACCTGAGCTCAATTTCGAGTCTCATAGCAAAAGGTCTGAATACTTATGTAAGTAAGGTATTTCTGTTATAAACATTTTATACATTTGCTAAAGTTTCTAAAAACCTGTTTTCACTTTGTCATTATGGGGTATTGTGTCTAGATTGATGAGGGGGAAACATAATTTAACCCATTTTTGAATAAGGCTGTAACAAAATGTGGAAAAAGTCAATGGGTCTGAATACTTTCCAAATGCACTGTGCATACACACACACCGCAGACTTTGAACTGATCTGAATTTGATGTAGGCTAATTAACTTGTGAGTCTTATTATGTGAGCTTTACTCAGAAACGCTTTAATTAACTAACATAGGCCTACTATTGATTTATTTTATCTCAGACTTTTATTGCCTACTGGACTCAGAGAGCTACTCTCTCACGTTATTTTGTTGGGGCGATTGACTCTTTGAACTTACAATGGCTAGCCCCAAGCTATTTTACTTTTTTCTTCTGCTTTGTGCTATTTGCTCCATGACTCCTGCACACTATGTTGACTATGAGCTTGCTCGTTTACCTGACCGTGGGACAGACAATGTTTGTTACCCACACTCGCGACTCTGAGACTCTATCGGTTGCACAGACTCTTGGCCTCCCATCCTATTCTAACCCCCTCTCGCCAGGCTTTGTATTCATGCTACCTGATGAAATTACTGTACACTGATCTTGTTGCCATCTGATGCACATTCAAATATCATACAAAATCAGCTCTCCCAGTCCTCTGCTGTGCCATGATTGTATTGCTGCTGATGATATCTGAAAATTTGCATGTACACCCTGGGCCGTCTACTGTTGCTAGCCCCAATTCTGACTTGTGCTCTGATGATTTCTGCTTCACTGATTTCTGCTCTCGTAAAAGCCTGGGTTTTCTGCACGTTAACACTAGAATTCTTATTATCTCAAATTGATAAATTGAAAGTGTGGGTTCACAGCTCCAATGTAAATGTGTTGTTCATTACTGAGACATGGTTAAGAAAGAGTATTCTGAACACTGATGTTAACCTTTCTGGTTATACATTTTTTTTGGCAAGACAGATCTTCCAAAGGTGGTGGAGTGGCAATCTTTACCAAGGAACACCTTCAGTGCTCGGTTGTCTCCACCAAGTCTGTCCCCAAACAATTTGATTTGCTGGTTTTAAGCATTAAGCTTTCAAATAGCTCTTTGTTGACTTTTGCTGGGTGTTATCGTCCACGATCAACACCGGCTCCCTCCTGGCCCCTTACACTAAGTCTGAATCTGTCCTGCTAGGTGACCTAAACTGGGACATGCTTAAACCACCTGACCATGTCTTAAAACAATGGGACTCCCTAAATCTATTTCATATCATTACCAATCCCACAAGGTATGACTCCAAACAGAATTAAAAACAGGTTCAGCCCCTGGTTCGACCGTGATCTGGCAGAGTCACCCCACCTCAAGAACACCATTTGGCGAAAGGCTCGGCACACAAATACTCAGGCTGACTGGCTGTCATCCAGGCAAATTATAAATAAGTGTACTCAGGCTATCCGGAAAGCCAAAGTTAATTGCTTTAAGGAACAGTGTTCTCTCTGTGGGTCTAACCCCAAGATGTTCTGGAAAACAGTGAAAGACCTGGAGAATAAACCCTCCTCCTCACAGCTGCCCATGTCTCTTAATGTTGATGATCTGGTTGTTACTGACAAGGAACGTATGGATGAGCTCTTTAATCACCACTTCATTAAGTCAGGATTCATATTTGACTCAGCCATGCCTCCTTGCCCATCCAACACTTTCTCATCTCCCACCCCTTCTAATGTGACTAGCCCTGATGCTCCTCCCTCTTTCCCCCCTGCCCCACTACACAGCTTCTCCCTGCAGGCTGTCACTGAGTCTGAGGTGCTGAAGGAGCTCCTTAAACTTGATGGTTTAGATACTTTCTTCTTTAAGGTTGCAGCCTCTATCATCGCTGAGCCTCTCTCTCCTCTCTGGGGAGGTTCCCAGTGCTTGGAAGGCAGCCACGGTGCGTCCTTTATTTAAAGGGGAGATCAACCTGATCCTAACTGTTATAGGCTGATTTCTATCTTGTCCTGTTTATCAAAATTGTTGGAAAATCATGTCAATAATCAACTGACTGGCTTTCTTGATCTATAGTCTATAGTATTCTCTCTGGTATGCAATCTGGTTTCCGCTCAGGTTCTGGATGTGTCACTGCAACCTTAAAGGTCCTAAATGATGTCACCACTGCCCTTGATTCTAAGCAATGTTGTGCTGCTATTTTTATTGACTTGGCCAAAGCTTTTGATACAGTAGACCATTCCATTCTTGTGGGTCTAAGGAGCATTGGTGTCTCTGAGGGGTATTTGGCCTGGTTTGCTAACTACCTCTCTCAAAGAGTGCAATGTGTAATGTCAGAACATCTCCTGTCTCAGCCACTGCCTGTCACCAAGAGAGTACATCAACAACATAGCTCAGGCAGCAGGAAGCTCTTCTCATCCATTGATATGCAGATGATACAGTCTTATACTCAGCTGGCCCATTCCCAGATGTTGTGTTAAACACTCAACAACAAAGCTTTCTCAGTGTCCAATAAGTTTTCTCTGCCCTATACCTTGCTCTGAGCACCTCCTAAACATAGACGACCCCCCCCCCCCCCTCCCCTCCCATAGTAATCGCTCCTCTTTCAACCCCAGCTGCCAAACTAACCCTGATTCAGATGACCATCCTACCCATGCTAGATTATGGAGATGTAATTTATAGATCGGCAGGTAAGGATGCTCTTGAGCGGCTAGATGTTCTTTACCATTCGGCCATCAGATTTGCCACCAATTATCCTTATAGGACACATCACTGCACTCTATATCAAATCAAATGTATTTAGAAAGCCCTTTTTACATCAGCAGATGTCACAAAGTGCTTATACAGCGACCCAGCCTAAAACCCAAAACAGCAAGCAATGCAATGTAGAAGCACTCTATACTCCTCTGTAAACTGGCAATCTCTGTATACCCGGCTCAAGACCCACTGGTTGATGCTTATTTATAAAACCCTCTTAGGCCTCACTCCCCCCTATCTGAGATACCTACTGCAACTCTCATCCTCCACATACAACACCCGTTCTGCCAGTCACATTCTGTTAAAGGTTCCCAAAGCACATACATCCCTGGGTCGCTCCTCTTTTCAGTGCGCTGCAGGTAGCGACTGGAACGAGCTGCAAAAAACACTCAAACTGGACAGTTTTATCTCCATCTCTACATTCAAAGACTCAATCATGGACACTATTACTGACACTTGTGGCTGCTTTGAGTGATGTACTGTTATCTTTACCCTTTTGCCCTTCGTGCTGTTGTCTGTGCCTAACAATGTTTGTACCATGTTTGTGCTGCTAACATGTTGTGCTGCTGCCATGTTGTGTTGCTACTGTGTTGTTGTCATGTTGTGTTGTTGTCTTAGGTCTCTCTTTATGTAGTGTAGTGGTGTCTATGTTGTCGTGATGTGTGTTTTGTCCTATATTTTTATTTTATTTTTGTGTGTGTTTTTTTCAGCCCCCGTCCCCTCAGGAGGCTGTTTCCCTCTTGGTAGGCCGTCACTGTAAATACGAATTTGTTATTTATTAACTTGCCTAGTTAAATAAAGGTGAAATAAATAAAATTAGGTTTGGATTTAGGAAGTCCATTGTGAACATTTTGTGTATTGATGGGCTCATAGCAGTATTCTCTTACATTTGAATAGCCTAAGGGACCCTCTGTCACGCCCTGGCTCTGGGGACACTGTTATGTTGAGCCAGGGTGTGTAATTCTATGTTTGGATTTCTATGTTGGCCTGAGTGACTCCCAATCAGAGGCAACGAGTGTCAGCTGGTTGTCTCTGATTGGGAGCCATATTTAGCTGTCTGTCTTTCACTTTGTGTTTGTGGTTTCTTGTTCCGTGTTGGTTCGTGTTGTAACCAGGGACGTCACGTTTTCGTTTTGTTCGTGTGTTCATTCATTTAATAAAATGTTCGCATTCAACGCTGCGCCTTGGTCCTCCTCTGTAGATGATGATCGTGACACCCTCCCCTTGTACTTGAAAAAAAATGACAATACCCTCCCCCTTCATTGAATTAACTAAAAACAATGATTACGACCACAGTGACAAATTAGGCCTACCTCATTATTACAATCAGGGGGTGAAAAAAAATCTGCTTTATAATAGAGCATTGCATGTACCTATCGTTGTATTTGCGGGTCCCAGAAAAATTGGTTTTATAAACACATTTAATGCAATTCTAGTCATTTAACATGACTGAAGACCTAAGCAGAATTTATTTTCTAATACCAACGTTTTTCTGAGCTAACAGTCAGCGGGCCAGAACTGTGACGAGGTGAAATTAAGCAGTCAGGCGCAGGAGGTAAAATACCGAAGTCCAGAGTTTAATGTGTTCACATATATCAAACGCCCCAAGCGTCAAAAGGAACAAGCTCAAAGGAAAACATCCACCTTGGTATAAATACAATGTTGAGTAGCTCAACCGAGCTAACATGCTCTCACAATAAACAATCACTCACAAGGGGAACAGAGGGAACACTTATACACATACTAATTAGGGGAATGAGCACCAGGTGTGTGTGATTGACAAGACATGACAAGTGGAGTGATGAGAATGAGATCGGCAGTAGCTAGTACTCCGGTGACGACGAATGCCGAAGCCTGCCCGAACAAGGAGGAGGGGCAGCCTCGGTGGACATCGTGACAAGAACATAATATCATAGCAGCCCAATTCATACACATACGGTTAGTACATAATCAATTCAATTAAAAATAACATAATAATTTAGATAAAATCACAAATGTTCACAGAACGGGACCACCGAGTGCTGAAGCGCGTAAAAAATAGTTTGTCCTGCAACACTCACTACCGAGTTCCAAACTGCCTCTGGAAGCAACGTCAGCACAAGATCTGTTCGCCGGGAGCTTCATGAAATGGGTTTCCATGGCCGAGCAGCTGCACACAAGCCTAAGATCACCATGCGCAATGCCAAGCGTAGGCTGGAGTGGTGTATTGCTTACCGCCATTGGACTCTGGAGCAGTGGAAACCCATTCTCTGGAGTGATGAATCACACTTCACCATCTGTCAGTTCAACGGACTAATCTGGGTTTGGCGGATGCCAGGAGAACGCTACCTGACTCAATGCATAGTGCCAACTATAAAGTTTGGTGGAGGAGGAATAATGGTATGGGGCTGATTTTCATGGTTCGGACTAGGCCCCTTAGTTCCAGTGAAGGGAAGTCTTAATGCTACAGCTTACAATGACATTCTAGATTATTCTGTGCTTCCAACTTTGTGGCAACAGTTTGGAGAAGGCCCCTTCTTGTTTCACCATGACAATGCCCCCATGCACAAAGGTCCATACAGAAATGGTTTGTCGAGATTGGTGTGGAAGAACTTGACTGACCTGCACAGTGCCCTGACCTCAACCCCATCGACCACCTTTGGGATGAATTGGAAAGCCGACTGCGAGCCAGGCCTAATCACCCAACATCAGTGCCCAACCTCACTAATGCTCTTGTGGCTGAATTGAAGCAGGTCCCCGCAGCAATATTCCAACATCGAGTGAAAAGCCTTCCCAGAAGAGTGGAGGCTGTTATAGCACTAAATGGGGGACCAACTCCATATTAATGCCCATGATTTTGGAATGAGATGTTTGACGAGCAGGTGTCCACATACTTTTGTTCATGTCGTGTATTTAATGAGTGGTGACACTATTAGAGGAATTGGACGACAAATCTATGGATAGCCCATAATTTCGTCTGTCAAACAGGTAGGCCTACATTTTATTTCTTAAATAGGAAGAAATAGCCTCCAATACAAAGCCCTCTAGTTGTTAGTTAATTTGAGTTAAAATGAAGACTGTTTAAATGAATTACTCGAATTAGCCTAATTTCAGCACCATGTGCTTCCACCTCCCGATTGATGATTGAGTGTGATGAATATGAGCCCTGAGCCGATGGCGGCAACACATTTGGGGACTGTGGCACAGGCTGGTGTATGAGGAAAGTACCAAAACCCCTTGATAGGGGAGGCGCATGCAAGCAGATGGGGAAAGTTGGCTAGGATAGAATAAATTATGTATGAAAACCTGCAAAATGGTGAATCAGGGGAAAAAATGCACTACCCTACCAGGGAAAGAATGCAGTACTCTACCCTGTGTCCAATAAAAATCCACACAACCCTCCCCAAAGCAAAAAAAAAAAAGGTTACACCCCCCTCACCTATTTTGGACCTCCCCTCCACCCCCAGTAATTTTCAAACTGTCCTAAGTAATTCCAAAAAGAGAGTTTACAAGTTTTATGCTTATATATTCATTGTAGAGATAACAAATGCAAAACAACACAAAACAAACCAGTAACGCAAACCTTGAGCATAAGCTAACCCTCCAGTTGCATTATTTTAAACTCCCAACTTCAATGTTTGCAGTTTTTTTGTTGTTGTTGCATTCATCTATTATAGTTAGAATAGCGGGATGTTTTATTGCAAGATATACACTCAAGGGTATGGACACAGACACTGGCGAGAGTCACGGCTCATTTAATCTCCCCGCTACTGCTAGAGTACAATACAGTACAGCAGCATCTCCCAAGAAATGCCCTAGCAGGGAGTGCAGAGCCCATTAGGGATTTTTGCCTATAAAAGCATAATCAAATTTCCCAGCACCCTGACGATTAGGCTGAATCAATGGAGCAAGAGACCCATTTGACATGACCATGTCTGTATTTGTCCAGAGAGAGGCTGCCTTAAGAAATCAATGAGAAGAATGAGCTATGCTTTTGAAACATGAGTCACCGAGTTTCTAAACCCAGAGGTGCAACATCTCAAGACTTCCGGGAACGCTTGCGAAACAGACCAAACAGACCAGGCCGGGGTTTGGGAAGTCAATGAGAGAAGTGAACAATTCTTCCTTAGTTGTTCATTTGAAAAACTCTAAAGGCACAACCTAGATTCAAGCCATGGTGTTAACTAGTTGAACTTGTTATTACTCCAACCTCGTGAATGTGACAAACTGACACATTTACATTTTCGTCAAAAACTACTTTATATCGAAGGAGTGCCTTTGATTTGACGGCCTGCACAAGCGCAGTTCGGCGCGAGATGACCGTTAGACCCGATGATATGTTTCTACGCATGAGATTAGATAGCCAACATTGCCATGACATCGCCTACAAGTGTGATCTGGGATTTCTATTGGAAAAGCAGTTTTAGCCTATCTTCATACTATACTGTCCTTGCCTGAGTCTTCTACATTCCATCTGGGGTTGGGGGGATGAGCCATGAAATACTTTTATGATTGTTGAGTGGGAGAAATGCTTTAGCCTGAAGTAATGATTTGTTTGTTTGTTTTCACTGGGTCTATTTCTTGCCAAGGAGGAAGTGCGTTGAAACTGTAACTGACAATACTTGTAAACTCTGGGAGGAAGAAGGTAACTGTGGCTCCCCTCTCCTTCACTTCCCAGAAGCAATGTTTAGGGACTATCCCTCTCCTTCTCTTTCTCTGATTAATGTTATGGCCTCATTGCCCTCTCCTTCTTGCGACACCTGGTGTTGTAGGTGTCCTGGAGGTTAGGCAGTGTGCACCCAATGGTGTGTTCGGCTGAGCGTATATTAGGACGAGCAATGTCTGAGTGGCATTGACTAGAATACAGCAGAATACAGTATATACATATGAAATGAGTAAAATAGTATGTAAACATTATTAAAGTGACCAGTGTTCCATTATTAAAGTGACCAGTGATTCCATATCTATGTACATAGGGCAGCAGGGTTGAGTAACCGGGTGGTAGCTGGCTAGTGACAGTGACTAAGTTCAGGGCAGGGTAACTGGTGGAGGCCGGCCAGTGATGGCTATTTAACAGTCTGATGGCCTTGAGATAGAATCTGTTTCTCTCGGTCCCAGCTTTGATGCACCTGTACTGACCTCGCCTTCTGGATGATAGCGGGGTGAACAGGCCGTGGCTCGGGTGGTTTATGTTTTTGATGATCTTTTTGGCCTTCCTGTGACACCGGGTGCTGTAGGTGTCCTGGAGTGGAGGCAGTGTGCGCCCCCTGGAGAGCCCTGTGGTTGTGGGTTGTGCAGTTGCCGTACCAGGCGGTGATACAGCCCGACAGGATGCTCTCAATGGTGAATCTGTAAAAGTTTGTGAGGGTCTTAGGAGCCAAGCCGAATTTCTTCAGCCTCCTGTTGCTCCTTCTTCACCACACTGTCTGTGTGGGTGGACCATTTCAGCCAATTTCTCCACGGCGGCCCTGTTGATAATTATTGGTCATTTGCCTGCAGGAAAGGGCTACAGAGTCGCTGTCGTGCCTTCTTCACCACAGTGTCCATGTGGTTTGACAATTTCAGCCAATTTCTCCACGACGGCCCCGTTGATGATTATACATTCACATCCAAAAGCATTGCCACCATTGATAAATATGAGCAAAAAATACTGTATAAAATAAATAATACAAATACTGAGCTAAATTGTATGCTCCAAAATATTAGAAAATCACATTATTTTATACTAATACAATTGCTCAGAGATAAATATTTGTAATAAAAAAAATCTCAAACATATGTGTCAGGATTATTGCCACCCCTGTTTTCAATACTTTGTGCACCCTCCCCTTGCAAATATAACGGCACTTAGACTTTCTCTATAATGTTTTATGAGATTGAAGAACACATTGAGAGGGAGAGACCATTCCTCCATACAAAATATTTTCAGATCCTTGATATCTTTCGGTCTGTGCTTATGCCCTCTTTAATTCAAGCCACAGGTTTTCAATGGGGTCAAAGTCCGGAGACTGAGATGGCCATTGCAAAATATTGATTTTGTGGTCAATTAATCATTTCTTTGTGGATTTTGATGTATGTTTGGGGTCATTGTCTTGCTGGAAGATCCACTTACAGCCAAGTTTCAGCCTCCTGGCAGAGGCAACCAAGTTGTTGGCTAAAATGTCCTGGTACTTGGTAGAGTTCATGATGCCATTGACCTTAACAAGGGCCCCAGGACCAGTGGAAGCAAACCAGCCCCATAACATCAAAGATCCACCACCATATCTTACAGTAGGTATGAGGTTCTTTTCTGCAAATGCGTCCTTCTTTTGAGGCCAAACCTACCAGTGCGTGGCCAAAGAGCTCTATTTTCGTCACATCTGACCAAAGCACCCGGTTCCAATCCAATGTCAATGCTGTTGATCAAACTCCAGGCATTTACATTTGTTGGTTGCTCTCAATAAATGCTTGTTTTATGGCCTAGAACAAACATATCAATGGTAAAAGAATAAGAACACAACACAGGATGTTTAAGGAAATATACTGAACATTTTAAATAAATGTGTAAAAAACTAGCTTACTAACATTTACAATTGTGGGAGTAGTGATTAAGAAATAGCGAGAAAACTGTTTGTAAATGCTTTGTTATAAATGATTTATTACGGACCGTTAAAATAAAGTGTTACTCCAGCATTTTACATTGGTGTTAATGGCCAGCATTTTACATGGGTGTGCATGGCCAGCATATAAACATGGGTGTGCATGGCCAGATACTGTGACTGAATAACTGATGTTGTCGAGCAATTGACAGGATGTTACCAGCTCCGAGCCAGTTCCCTGGACATTATATTCTCCGACATGTTACGTCTGCCAGTCCCTCCAGGATTCCTTTTTTTGTTGTTGTGATAGTTGTGTGCCAAAATTCAGACATTTTGCTAGGCAATTTGCAATGATTTTGTCAAATTTGTCACAAAAATGCGCTGAGTGGGGGAAGGTTGTTGATTTAACCATTTTGTGCGGTAAAAGTGTGGTGATTGGTTCAAATTGCAAGCCCTCTTTTTGTGGTGCGGTGATCGGACAGTTTTACACAGGAATATTGTGATGATTTCGCTGTTTTATGCGGTAATAGTGAGGTGATTGGTCAAATTTGCAAGTCCTCGTATAATAGGTGTATATGTCTTTAGGGAGTATAAGACCCCCCTGTGGACAGGTGAGATGGTCTCATCCATTACTGTTTTATAAGGCTACCTGTCTCTCGCCTCAGAGACTCCATCTTCTGAATGTAAGAAAGCGCTTGCAGCCGCTTGAGCAACATAGGTATCTGAGGCTCTCGCTGTTACACAAGGCTTTCAATCTTCTCTCTTTCACTCTTTTTTCACTCTTCCTCTGTGTTCTGGTTATTTATTTCAATTCAATTTCAATTTAAGGGCTTTATTGGCATGGGAAACGTGTGTTAACATTGCCAAAGCAAGTGAAGTAGATAGTAAACAAAAGTGAAATAAACAATAAATATTAACAGTAAACATTACACTCAGAAGTTTCAAAAGAATAAAGACATTTCAAATGTCATATTATGTATATATACAGTGTTGTAACAATGTGCAAATAGTTAAAGTACAAATGGGAAAATAAATAAACATAAATATGGGTTGTATTTACAATGGTGTTTGTTCTTCACTGGTTGCCCTTTTCTTGTGGCAACAGGTCACAAATCTTGCAGCTGTGATGGCACACTGTGGTTTTTATTTATTTCTCTCTCATCTCCATGGCTCAGATATGGGATGGAGCGTCTGTTTGCTGCAGCAGGACAGACGGCTTAAAGAGATAAAGCCAATTACAGCTGGCTGTCTGGTAGACTAGAACATCAACCACAAATAGACAACACTTGACATCTCCTCGGGAATGAACATAGGAACACGGAAGCCCTCTTTTTCTTTTAGTGGAAATTACCTTATAAAGAACAATCAAACACTTTTCTTTTCATTGTATTGATATTAAGTGTATGGTGTTCAAGAAAGACGCATGTTGATAGCATTATCCCTCCAAATCAATTCAGTTTTATCAAATCTACTAGGTTTTCACAGCTGACATTTCCAGGTTTTCACGGATGTCAAACTATGATTATGCTGACTCATCTGTAATTACCATGCGTGTTTAACACTTCCTCTGTGTTTCTATAGGATGATCCCGGCCTCCAGCAAAGCCTTCCTGGTGACCAACCTGGTGTCGGGGACCAAGTACGACCTGTGTGTCTTGGCCGCCTGGGACGACACCGCCACCACCCTGACTGCCACCAACGTGGTGGGCTGTGCCCAGTTCTTCACCCGCGACGACTACACCCAGTGCCAGTCTCTCCACAGCCAGTTCCTGGGGGGCACCATGATCCTGGTGGTGGGTGGCATCATCGTGGCAACGCTACTCGTCTTCATCGTTATCCTGATGTTGCGCTACAAGGCCACCGACAATGAGGGGGGTGGCACGGGGGGGATCGGCAAGCTGACCAGCGTTAGTGACACTCACTCACAGACCAATGGGGGCCGGCTGGGACAGAACGGCGTGCCCCTGCCCTTGTCCAAACCCAAGGCCAAAGTGACCCTCCAGGACGAGGTGGTGGAGTTTAAATGTGGATCCCTCCAGAGCAGCCTCACCTCCTCCTCTTCCTCGTCAGGGGGCTCGATGGCCGGGGGTGACTCTCACAGCCCCAACAGCACCCTGGCCAACATGTGGAGGCAGGCGGCCCCCTCCAAGCCCCGGGCCAACCTGGACCACCTGCTGGGGGCCTTCAACTCCCTAGAGCTCCGGGGGGGCCAGGGCAGGGATAGGGGAGACCTGGGGGAGCCATCCTCCAGCAGTAGCACTCTGGTGGCGGGCGGCGATAGGCCCCCCACGGACAGGGAGCCCCTGCTGGGCCGGACAATGGACTCGCGGCTCAGCCGGGTGCTCATGCTGCCTCTGGACTCCAAGCCAAAAAGGAGCCAGTCGTTTGACATGGGGCACTGTATGGATACAAACCGACAAACAGAGAAAGCGACGGCCTCCAGCGCCTCCACGGCCACCACGCCGGTGTGCAGCTACCCCCGGCGCATCAGCAGCATCTGGACTAAGAGGAGCCTGTCTGTGAACGGCATGCTGCTGCAGTGTGACGAGGAGGGTGATATGGGGGGGAGCAAGGGGACCTTGGAGAGCCAAGAGTGGGTCATGGAGAGTACTGTCTAGGAGAGATGATGACAGACTTCTTCTAAAACACTGCCCCAGCCAGGTGGCAATACGCCTCAGTTCTGATAGACCCACCGGTGAGTGGAGAAGTCCCTGCTTTCTCCCTCCCTCCTTGTTTGCATGGAATTAATTCATGTTAATCTATTGTGGATCCTCCATTGTTGTGACAGATAAGTAAAGCTCAAATCACGGATCTCGAACCCCCAAGTGGGTAAATCGGCTAACGACGCTCTGTGGACCAAGATGATTCGTGGAGTGAGGTTGTTTTTTGTTTTTATGTGTGTGTACTCTACATGGGGAGGGGGGGGACACACAGTAATGGTCAACCACAAACTACAAGTAAGTCATGCAATGAAACCTAGTGGATTGTGCAATCTGTGAGTGGTATGGAGTCACATGGAAACTCAGAAATTGGAAGCAGGCCTGTTGTTCATAAGGAGGGCCTTAGTTTCTCAGACACAAGGAACGTAAAACAAATCACTGTATTTGTTGACTTGTAAAATGGCATACCAGTAAAAGTCACTTTTGTTGCTGAGATGTTGGGCCATGCCCCTGGACTATACTACTGCTGCAAGTGAATCTGAAATATGTAATGAATTTAACGTTTTTATATATTTTATTTTGCCGATCAAACACACGTTGTCTAATACTGTTCTTTGCCTCTGTACAAGATGGGGCTCCGACCTCAAGATTTGCATTATGAAAAACTAGAATATACAAGTATATCCAGACCCATTTATAAATATCCACATAACCATTTTGTTTCTTAACCCATTCGGACTGAATGGTATGTATATATCGGCAATGTAATTAATCCTTACAAAAATATATGAAAAAGATTTAATGAAAACAATGTATGTGAATATATTAACTTTATATACAGAGTATATATTTGAGGGTTCATTAAATAATTCCATATCTGGTCCCCTGTCAAGTTGTTTTCATGTATAAAGCAAGCAAACAATTTATCCTCAAAACCAAGTTTTTTTTTTAAGATAACAATGTGAAAATGGTAAGGTCTTAAGTGAAAATGTAACTGTTATCGTGAATTAACCCAATATAGAGCTCACAACAAACATAAGTTAACCCTCTCCAGCACAGAAAGATTAAGCCCTCAGAAAAACTGCAGCTCAACATGCTCAATTGTTGAGAGACAAGCATTCTTCTCCAATTCCAAGGAACATTTGTACATGTTTATGAACTTTGATACACTTACCTGTATACTCTATCTGGAATGTATCACCTTAAATGGTCGACATTTGAGAGTAAGCAGACACCTTGCCACCCTCACCAGTTATTGGCATGAGAAATGTACAGGGAATTCGTACTGAACTATCTGTGTCTTGGAATTGTCAAACATGATTTTGTGTTTGGTAGCATAAACTCATAGTGTTGCAAAACCCTCCATCTCTTTGTGATCGTGTCAAGACAGCCCTTCATGAACATGAACTACAATTGATATAACTTGAGTTTACTAAAAATCCATTGTAAGGTACCATAAACGTACAGTGCACAATGGTTATGCTCTCAACAATGGTGAAGTTGTTGGCTTTTCTGTAACGTGTACAACTTGCATGTTTATCGAGGACTAACTCATGAGACCATGAAGGACCTTATACACTATCTCTCTTTCTCTATCTGTCCTTTCTCATATCGTGTTGTCTGAATGGCTTTCTGGCATTCTGGATCGACTGCTTCTGTACATTGACTGGCTTTTTTGTACAATAATTGAGAGAGAATGTTCAATGGAGAAAACAATCATGTACACCAGTGTCTTTATTTTCTTTGTAAGCATAAAGAAATAAAGAGGTGCTTCACTCTATCATTACAGTGTAACCATGTACATTTCTCACCTGGAATTGTAGACAATGTTTCTGTGGTGAAACCTATTGTTTTTTGCTACAAAAAAATATAAAAAATTAAGATATTCTAAAACATTCATGTTGTGTCAGACCCTTATTGTAAGACATGCTAATGTGCAACATTTGTAATATAAATGTATAATTGTTCAGTATTTAACTTATTTTGTCACCCTCTGGTAGTTCTGGGATAAACAGTAATCTGATCCGTATGAGGTAACCTGTCTAAATGATTAGCACTCATATCTGTAGCCATAAAATGCATTTTATAATGTTGAAACACACTTGGGTTGTGTAGGCGGAGAGTTGGAGGCAGGTATGGGTGGTGTGAGGTGTATGAAGCCCTTTCTTCTAAACCCAGGCAGAGTGCACTCTGGGTCATATTCATTAGGCACCAAAATTAACCAGGAGGCACAGTGGCAATACTATCCTGTATGCATTTTATTTTGAATGAACACAGCTTTATTTGGAACCTTGATCTTTGAATCTGTGTAGCTATACAATGTGAAATATACTGTCTCTTTTAGATGAGGTGTAATTGTTTCATATCAGACTACACTGTACTTGAAGTTGTTCTGACAACGGCCTAGATTCAATCAGATTAAGCATTAACCCTCAATAGCCGACACCCTGGTGTTTTGGTCGTGTTGGAAGTGTAACCACAGATGGATAAGGGAAACCCAGATGGATCACAGGGGGTAAAATCTGAAGCATTCGGTAGGAACTTCCACCCATTACTAAATATGGTGATGAGAGGAAGTCCAGTGGCCGGCAGTGGGAGAAGATGGAGCTAGTTGAAACTTGGCTGACATTCTACACATTTTCTCATCGATGAAATATTCGATCTCAATGCAGTTTTCTGTTCCCAAAACTATAATCTGTCATGAACAGAGTGCACTATGTTTCGTAGACTGGACCATTTGCCAAAGTTTCAAAAAATGGTGTTGTTTAGAAGGAGCGCAAGAGCGAAAGTAGTTATTGCACTTACACAGAGTAGGCGTTCCCTAACGGACATTTGCAAATACATGCTAAAACGTGCCAATAAGATCTTGTTAGCTCATGCAGATGAACTATCTTGGGTTAGTTATAAGTATCTTTGGTGTAACGGCATTAGAGCTTTCAAATTGGTTGTGTGGTCATTACCACGAAGCCACACAGGTCCCACACGCGTTAAAAGTTTAGAACAAGAAAGTGTAGGCCATGTAGAAATAGAAATAATTTCTATCAAGGTGTAGATAACATCACACATTCCAGTGTTTGAACTTGTAAACACGGCTGCATGGGATTGATACTAACGCGACTCCATGCAGCCAATGGCAATGTCCATAATAGGTATAACGCCGGGACCCACTTGTTGATTTGACAGCTCTAACGCAGCTCCACTTCCGACACTGTCAAAACACCTGCTATGCACAATAGCGTGTGATTGCGGGCCGCAATTCATGGCGTTCCTGCATGTGTGCATTCCTCCCCCTCGAGCATCCCATTAGTTCCTGCATGAAGGCCCCCACTCAAGCACGCCATTGTCATGCTTGTGCGACACTTTTGATATTCTGGATTTCCGCTGAATATCTATGCAATTAAAATCTGGGTCAAAATGGAAATAAAAGTATTGTCCGAGTTTTTCGGGGGCAAAGGACACTGTCTACCGGTGTCCTAGCTAGCTACCAGTGTCACTCCCACCTCCTGTGTACCAGAGTACTCCTAGCTAGCGAGCACACAGTGCCCTTCGCTCCCACCTGCCGAACACCTGCCATCACCGTCGTTAACAGAACTGTGGGAAAGCAGTGCCCAACAGGCGGGGAGTGAAGGACACTCTCTACCAGTGTCCTAGCTATCGTTAGCTAGCTAGCTACCTACCCCACCTGCTATGTACCAGAGTCCTAACTAGCAAGCTAACTAGCTAGCTAGCACCCAGTGTCTTTCGTTAACGCCTGCCAAACACCTGCCCTCGCCATCGTTAACAGAACTGCGGGGGCGAAGGACAGTGCCTGACAGGCAGGGGCGAAGGACACTGTTTATTGTTGTCCTAGTAGCTACCGGCGTTGTCGCCCCATGTTCTTGTTCTGTGGGGTTTATTGGCGGTTGGCATCCAACGTTATGGTGCATTACCACCACCTACTGTACTGGAGCATCCCCGCCTCATGCCTGTGATTGGGAGTCCTAGCTTAGAAATGTACCAATAAAATGTGTAAAGAGAGGTTCCTGCATATGCAAGAATGCCCACATGCAGGAACGCCCCGAATTGCGGGCCGCAATTGCACCCTTCTCGCTATGCAGGGCTGGCAACGTGGTCTCAGTGCAATTTGTATTATTTTGTAAGTAAATCTGTGACACTCCATTTAGTATTATATATTACGTTATGTCAAGTTACATTATGAATGGAATAGTAGTTGTACAATAGCATATGAATTATAGGATGTATAGTATCATACAATACCCGGTTGTACAATAGCCAACAGCGTACCATGCTGCATCCCACTGCTGGCTTCCTTGTGAAGCTGAGCAGGGTTGGTTCTGGATGGGAGACCAGATGGTTTTGGAGGGCCAATAGGAGGCACTCTTTCCTATAAAATATATCCCAGGGCAGTGATTAGGGACATTGTCCTGTGTAGGATGCTGTCTTTCGGATGGGACGTTAAACGGGTGTCCTGACTCTCTATGGTCACTAAAGATGCCATGGCACTTATTGTAAGAGTAGGGGTGTTAACCCCAGTGTCCTGGATATAATCCCAAACTGGCCCTCATACCATCATGGCCACCTAATCATTCACAGCTTCCAACAATGTGCTCTCAGTCAATTTACCTGGTTATAAAATTGTGTACGAATTGGTTTACTTAATTTATCATACATCTTGGAATGTGTGTAGTATTATACGTCTTTCTCTGAGACCAGGTTTCTTGTTTCACTGTAACAACAAAGGAGAATTACAGGGATCATTTACGTTGGTGGTTAGGAGAACTAACGACAATGGTTAGGGTAATTTGTGTAAATGGTTAGGAGAACTAAAACGACAAAGGTTAGGTGAATTTACGTAGCAGGTTAGGTTGATTGGGTTAAGTTTATAATAAGGGTTAGGGGAAGAGTTAGCTAAAATGCTAAAGTTGTCCCCAACGCCACTCGAACAATCATCCTTTGGA